GCATGCAGTCCCAGTTATAAAAGTAGTCAGGAAGAAATAGCAAAACGGAGAGAAGTGCATGTTGTGAGGCTAGCACAGATGAGTATATGAAGTTTGTGTGGTGGTTTTTAAGTGAAGTATTGATGTCTTGAATCTTCTGTTTCTCCTCTCTTCCTCCTGGAGAGGGAAGGAATCTTCTCCTGCTATTATCCTACTGCTTTTATCCTTCTTTCCAGTTGCTACTGCCTGTGTTTGAAGCTGATGTTTTTCCTGATCAGAATGTTCCACCTTCTCCACAAAGTGTCCCAGTGCACATCAGTTTTGTTGAAGTAACATCGAAGAGGGGAGCATCGTTCAGCAATTCATACCTAGTTTCTTTGAATAGAGAAGGAGAGAGGGTTAAGAAACCTGAGGAACCAAGAGTGAGTGTGCTGGTAGACACATGATAGGACATCAGATGAGGTGGCCCAAGTTTTACCACTGATTACCTACTGTGTTGCCGTACTGCCACTGAAGCAGAAGTGCCAGAGCTGCTTACAGGTCAGCTCCTGAGCTGCTCCCGTTATCAGGCACATCCAATTATCATATTAAGGTAGTCTCTTAGGAGTTTGATGCAGTCACCAGTTGACCTATAAGCAGGACTTCTGATAGTGTGTTTACTTTTACCTCTTGATTTATTTTTGTCATGGCCCTGTTTACTGAGCTGATGTAGCTGGGAAGTGAGTAAATAAATGTTCTATTTAAATTTCTTTGGTATGTACAGATTTCGTAAGCAAGATATAAAACTTTTAATTGGGAGTGTCCATGTTGTTGCAGTGAAAACCTATGTAAATTATGAGTTACTGAGGGGTGACTGCTGTGCAGGACTGTTTTACGTTGCTATGTGACCTACCACCTTAGCACAGCTGTAGTTGAATATGTTGCACTGGAAGAAGCAGAGGCTGCTAGGGAAGCTGAGACTGGTATCACCAGATCACCCAGGAGCTCCCATTTTCATGCCTAGATCAGCCTGTCGCTGAGTTAGTAGATTCTACCATCAGGAGAACTTGTTGTAACCTCCTGCCAGTGAATCAGAGCTTCCTCTGGCCACGGCACGCTGAGGTGAACGTGTGAGCAGCTTGGTGTTAGGCATCCAGGCAAGCTGGGCACCAGCCTGCCCACAGTAAGGGAATCTAAATAGCATCCATTTCCTTTATTTGAGACCTCACTGAATCGAGTTTGACAGCACTGCTGTGTGAACAGATGTGAAAGACCCATATTAACAGTAACTATATTACCCGTTGTTGTGCACTGGGCTGTGAAGCAACCAAAACATGGTTAAAAGCACATATTTTAATGTTCTGTACCCAAGTAATGTTTGCAATGTTAGACTCTAAATCTGCTTTTTAAATATTTTCCCTCAAATCTTTGCTTACTTCGGCTTGCTGCGTTGCTCTTCCTTTCAGCTTGTTTTCTTTGCTTGACTTCATTGTGCCTTTTTTTAACAAAGCAGCACGTATTCAAATGAGTAAGTTCCTCGTTTCCTTCATTGTGGCAGACAGGACATTTATCTTCTCAATCTTTCAAGCTGGTACATAGGTGGAATGTATGTATACTGTGATGTTTGGATTGCTGTGCATAAAATATTTGAAGCACTAGGTATGTTAGCTTCTGAAACTGGAAGTTGCCTCCCAGGCATGTCCTGCACCGCTTCCCTGGTGCAGGCTGGGCAATGCCCTGCAGAGAGGAAGCCCACCCGCTCTGGTGCTCTGCGGACCCTGGGAACGGCACTGCTCCCAGGAGGAGGACTAGGACCCTCTTAGCTGCTCTGATCTCTTCAGGTTACTTCAAGAGGGGCAGGCACACAACCTGGCACTGTGGATGCTTGTTTCTGCCTTCTTGTCCCTGGTGAATGACTCAAGTGCTTGCCTTTACCCTGGTCCCCACATCTCTTCTGCACCAGCAGACTGAGAAGGAGCCAGAGACAGCACAGTCCCTGCAGCAGGGAGTTCTGCAAAGTTAGCTACAAAAGCCAGCAGGGAGTCAGAGGTTTTCTGGAGACCATGAAGAAGAGTACTGTATAGCTGCAGAAGGAAATGATAATATACATTAGGTGCTCTGGTTTACCTAAAAGCATCAGATTGACAGAAATGGAAGTCTTGCCCTGAGGGGACTCTTCCCCTGCTTATCCACAAGCAGGTGAATTCTTCAGACATCACCTCAAAGAGAAAAGGGCAATGTTTCTGCAGGATTCAAAGCTCTTAACTGTTAGCCCTCTGTTGTATAAGGTCTATGAAAACTTCCAGAAACACAACAATAAAGCAAAAATGCTTCGTATTGAGGAGGAGAGCTGTGCAGCTGCCCGCAGAGCAGGTGTCTTGTGAAATCTGAAGAAGCCTCCAGTGAATGCAGGTTCGAAGTTGCCATTCTTACCTGGTTGTAATAACAGTTGTATCGTAATTTTGTATCTCTCAGTTCCTAGCCGTGAATGTCTGATACGTCCATAGCTGTTTGCTGGCCTTTCATGAACTGTATAAGGCTTTTCTTGAGATTACTGAAATGGGCAGTGCTGAAGTGAGTGATGCTCCAGTTTAAGCTGTTGCATCCTCTTAGGCTGAGCCATCTGAGCAAACAAAATGGAGTTTCCAGATTTCCTCACTCCTTCCTTTGCTTTGAAATAAAATACCCAGGTTTTTGTGTTTAATGAGGACTTTCCTATTTAATAAGTAGGAAAATACAGAGTTCTTTTTTTTAGTTGTATGGCTATGTGTTTTATCATGAGCAAAAAATTTTGGTCCATTACGTGTAAACACATGTAACTGTTACAGTAAGACATAATGTTGTACATAGAAATTGCTTACAGTAACAATGAGCGGGTGTTCCTCTGGGATTACAAAGTGAACTAGATCCAATCTTATTGAAATAAAAAATAATACAGATTAACTGTTATATTTGGCAGACACAATCATACATGTTTTTTTAAGGGAATGATTCTTTATATTTGTTTTTACTCGTGCAATAGTCACAAGTGAGTCCTTTGAATTCTGGGTTTGATTGCACTGAGTACATTAAAGTGGAAATTTTTGCAAGTTGAAGTTATAAATTGTGTATTTCAAACCCTCTGTCTTGTGCGGGGCAGCTCTTACACAGCGTCAAGGACGGATTTTGTTTTCCTCTTGTTCTTATTTTCTTACACGGTAAAAAAGCACAGATAGCATTCAGGACCTTCTGGTTTAGTGATTTGTTGTTGTATTGGGCCTTTTCCCTTCCTCTCAATCAGTCTTTGCCAGAAACTGCATAGCAGGGTCTTAAGTTGAAATTAAAGAAAACAGTATTTATGGACCTAGTGCATAACTCTGCTGGAAAAGTGTGGGCTTGAAAAATGAGGCTTTAACTCCATAAGTGAGAGTACGAAGATAATTTTTTTATTTCAGTGGAATTTTTGGATCTGAACTGTCAGATCAGACCCTCGGACTGCTACCTTGCAGTAAATCGTGTGTGGTACCTAGGGTTTCAGCAGTATGGTTATAAATCCCCCTGGAACTTTAATGAGAAAAGTACTTGTACAGCAAAATCTTTTTTGAATTTCGATGCTGTTCAGAATATACTTGTCAACTGACTTGTTACAAATAAGATCAGTTAAAATTTATTGTGCATGCCTTTTTTGGGGGAAAAAATTAAGTAATGTTCTCTTTAAGGTATGCTGGATGATCCCTTGCTCACGTATTTGCTGAATATCTGCATTTGCCAATATCTGGTTTCTTGCCTTGAAAACAAAATCTGATCGACAGTGTAGCTGCATTTTCAAAGAAGAAGGAACAGCACGAATGTAAAATGTACAGCTGTATGTGGGGTTTTTGCCTAGCCTTACAATACAAGGCGTTACCCACCCGGTATCACAGGTTAGCTGAGAGGTGGGCAGATTTCCCAGAGATGCTCGTAGAGACCTTGTCTGAGATCAGTACAAGACTCGGCATACTAAATTATATTAATCAAGATCTGAATATTAGTTAGATCTTCCTGGTAAAACACTCAGATGGTCCAGCCTAGGGAGGTGGTGATAATAAGTGCGAAAACCTTCCAAATAGCACTTTGGTGTTTGGTGAATGGAGTCACTTTGAAGGAGAGTGTATGTTTAATACAGCTACCTTCTAGAAACAAGGAGTACAGCCATTGGTATTGGCAAAGCAAGGGGGCAATGCTACCTAGAATGTACTGGGTGGAAAAACTAAACTTCGTTAGGTAATGAAAATATTTATTAAAGATAATTAAATGGCTGCCTGGATTCTTCAATTCAGAATTGAAATATTTTAATTCACTTCTCATTTTATATTTGAAATAAAAGTAATTGAATCCATTTTAAAAGGTGACTTGGATTACTGCTTCAGCATCTCGCTTTGTAGTCATGCTTTCAGAAGGTTATTTCATTAGTAGGCAATTGCCTTTCAGGGGTGGGAAACTACAAGGTTAAATTGTGTCTTTATTGTAATGGAGGAAAAAAAACCATAACAAAACCTGCTGGCTGGAAGCTGAAGACCAATTTAAAGACACCCCTCAACCTCATGCTTTTGGGTTTGTTCTTGGTGGTTAAAATCATGACAAATGGTTGAGGTTTTGTTCTGGATCTAATCCAGGGAAATTTAGCACTTTAGATTGAATGATGACAAGTGTCTGGCTGAAGCATGTCTTACTCATTACATGTATAAATAGTGGGCTTGTACATTTCTATGATTCCTCTTTACCTTTAATTATATTACTGTAGGGATCTTGCAGCTGTAGGTCAGCTTCCATGGATCCAGTTCTAGGGCTGAGGCACAAGAATGGAATAGCTTTCTTAAGCACTCGTTAATTAATATTCGCTGCTTTGTTGATAAGTCAGTTGTATGCGTGATGGGTATTGATGGCATGTTTTTCTGTTAACGGTGCTAACTTACTGGCGATTTTCCTAGCAAATAGGTAAGTACTGCATTGGATCTCATCGCTGCCTAATGCAATGAAAATAAATAATAAAGTAATACTACATTTCTTTTTTTTAGGTAATAATCTACGGGGATTTGCCAAAAAATAAAGAAAATGTAATATATTTATCAAATCATCAGTGTACAGGTTTGTATTTTTTTTGTTTGTCTTAGCACTTTTATAGATTTAAAAAATCTACTTGTCTGTTTACTGTGTCTCTTTTCAGCCTTGCCCGAATGAGCAAGAACTTCTATTTCAGAAACATTTAATGATATTTATATGTACAACATGTGCTTTTTGTTTCATCAGTGACAATTAAAAACAAATTTAACTAAGCATTTTGGGCTTTTGTCTTTGCAGTTGATTGGATTATTGCGGACATGCTAGCAATTAGGCAGAATGCTCTCGGGCATGTCCGGTATGTCTTGAAAGATGGATTAAAATGGCTTCCTCTGTATGGGTGGTATTTTTCACAGGTAAGCCCATTCACTTTTTCCTTGCTGTTTGTGCGTCAAATATGTAAGATGGACTTTCCCTCCGTTTATCATACCTCCTGGGAAGATGTAGTTCGGAGCTGGCGCTTGTTTATTTGAACATGAAAATAACTGGTTTCACTCAATGTAATTAGATGCATATCTTAGTTGAGAGACAGTTGTTAAAGACTGAGTTTGCTTTTCTAAATGAATACTTCTTATGGATGGTGTTTATTACTAGAATTAAAACTGTAGAGTCTGTTAGAAGCATTTCAGAATATTCTAGAACTTTGTTCTTTTTACAGTCCAAAACCCCACTTAGCAGTAGGTGTCAGCAGACTTTTTCTCCTATGTAGGCCTTTTTTTTGGTGGTTTTTTGTTTTGTTTTGTTTTTTCAATCATGCTACAAATTGGGAGTAAATTGACATTGCCGTGGTGTACTTATTTTTCAATTGTTAGGTTTTAGCACAATATGAAAGAGGAAAATTGTACTTTAGTATAGTGTGGAGGAAAAGCAGATCCTAGCCTCTGGTAAAGTGTTGATGGTTTTGCTTTGGACTTCGGTTAAACAAAAACCTGAGTCTAACAGTATTCCTATTAACTACATTTTACTTTCTCCTCGTCCTGCGTAATGCTCCTCTTGTTCCTTTTAGTTTGAGAGCTCAACCTGATGTGACTCAAAATCATACAGTTACTGAAGAAACAGCGGGCCATGGTCACTGTAGAGCTAACATACTGAGTGGATGCGATTTTTAATCTAAAATGGTGGAGAACATTGGCTTTACCTCCCTAAAATCCTGTCTGAGTTTGTCATGTCTGTTCTTTTCTTTTTCTGAAAGCAGGACTGTTTCTATATACAAATTAAATAAAATGTAGAGGGGGGTGTTTTTGGAAGTATTGGTATGTTTTGCCGGGTGATCAGAAGTGGCTTTAGAGTATTCATCTCAGGATTTAGATGTGTGCTTAGTTGTTAGAATAGAAATGGATTAAGTTTTGGGTTAACTCTTCCAAAGTGCCTCTTGAATAAGATTTTTCTCCTTTGGCTTCTGTCTTTGATCTTTACCTGTTCTCTGAACATTAATCTGCTTTCTGCCCTCGCCTCACCCCCCCTGCCCAGGCAAAGAAAAGCAAAAAACACTTAGAAAAATACTTCTAATAGAATTTAATAGAATTCTAATAGACAGTTTGCTTGAATTGACTATCAGCCCTGTCCAAGAAGATGGGGGATATTGAGCGAATTGCTACGCTGGGTATGATTTGAACTATATATTCATTTGTAAAGGAATATATGAAGAGTAGGCAACTACAGCCGTATGTCCGAGTGGGCAGCTTTACTCTCTCCCTCATCCTTGGCTGCACATTCCTCTCTCTCACTGCTTGTACTCTTGCATCCATAAATCAAGTCAGATCAGTCAATTGCTAGAACCAGCAAAAGGGGGAAAATTTTGAGTATTAGGCCGTGGGTGGGAAGAGGGAAGGAGGCAGGATGATAGCCCTTGTGTGGCCGTTGAGGCTGAAACTTTGCCTCCCAGAAGCTAATGTAAGTTGGATTGGGTTTAGAGAGTGTTGGGTGAGAGGATGTACAGATCCATGAACTGCCTAATTAATGTGCTGAGGAATACGAAGTGCCTTAAACAGCGGGCTTTCCCAGCAATCAGATGTTGCATTGTAGCTTGGGTGTAGGTACCTAATTTGAAGAGAGGTTCAGCGTCTTGGATCATGTCATAGAAGATGCCCATCGCTAGGGTGTGAACTGTCTCACCATTTTACCTTAGAGCACAGTAGCGGTTGAGGTTCCTACTGTCTGTTCAGTATGTAAGAGGTCAGAGTGTCCCCCGAGATAGTGGGAGATCCAGGTTCGATGTTTTCAACTTGATGGTTGAAAACGTTTGTGGTCTTCTGGATGAGTGCCTTAGACAGCGAGTATGCTATAAATCTAGGCTGGAGCATGGGTGGTTGCCATCCTTTCTTCTAAAATCATGATATATGGAGAAGAATATACTGCAGAGAAAATAAGATGACTGTTCACAATTTCTTTTTATTGGTGAGTTTGCTGTCCCAGTCCCCTAAATAATTATGAACTGTCACACCCTGTCATACCTCACGGAGGGTGTCCATTGGGAGAAGATGGAGTTCTCTGTTGTCTAATGCTTGTCCCCGCTAATGACTCTAGTGGAAGAAAAATGTAGAGAACCGGAGTGACCAGTTTGCTGCATGGAAATATTTTCTTCTTTGTCCTTGCCTGTAGTCATTACATTGGTGATTTAAGTCTGCTTTAATTAAAATATAGACAGGATGTATATTCTATCCGCTATCACTAGATGTCCAGAAATGATTTTTTTTTTTCAAGATTTTGGAAAATTACTATTGCTATCTGGAATATCCGGCGCTCAGTTTCCTGACTGCTATATTGGCTGTTAAAAGAAGGTTCCTGTGGAAATTAATCTGGATGTACCCTACATTTTTAATCAAAACATATATATTAAATAAAAGCTGTTCAACTTTGGATTCCTCAAAACATAAAACTTTTACAAGATTTAGTGGGGGGTCATTATGTGTATTTTTATCTATATATTTAATTCAGTGACACAAATGAAAGACAGCTTACTAACGATGGTGATGCATGTGTGTTTAAATGACTGAGACGGGATGCAGCAGGACTGCAGTGCAAGCTAATAGGTATTTTTATTGTTTTTATCACACCAAACAGTGCAAAAACATAAAACACTTCCTGCCCTTCCTGTTGATGTTCTGTCAGTGATGTCACTTACACTCCACTAAAAGTTTCCAGAGCCACATAATTACGCCATGCTCACGGAATTCATATTCCCTACCTCAGGTAAACATCCTGTTTGGAAATAAATGTGGTCTGGATGTCCAGGAGAACGAAATTCAGGCACAAAGGAAGTATATTTGTAAACATCATCCATTGTTGACTGAGAGAGGGGCTTTTAAAGTAGAGCGGAAAAAAATTATAACCTTAAAAACAGTACTTCCAGAAATCTGTTTTGAAAAGCATTCATATATTTGATCTCTTACTGAAAAGGAAATGCAATACAAATTGGGGAATTTGAGCTATATACAATTGCATAACTAGCATTCTTCTTTGGAGGCAGCTATCTAATAGCAAGAAAAGAAAAGAACCACTTAAATTAACCTGTTAAGTTCCAGGTTTGATTTATTAGGTAGAGCTATTTCTTTTCATAAAACTGACTTTATTATTTTTGGGTGGATCTGAAATTTTTTTTTGCCCTATCTTTCTCTACCAAAATGCAGCTAGCTCCTATTCATCTTATACCACCTGGTGAGGCTGGGATGTAATTTTGATAAATATTTTTGATGTCCTAGAGTTTGCTTGACTCTTTATCCTAGGAAGTATGTCTTTGACTTTTCTGTTATTCAGCATCAGCTTGTGTACCCTTTTGGTTGTTATAGAATTTTAGCCAAGTATTTAGCTAGTATGGCATCTTGCCTCTCTTTAGCTCTGTAATCCTGCGCCGTAGGGGAGCTGATATATTTATGTAGTTGTGTTGTATGCAGCAAGTGGTGATCTTACAATACATAATTGGTCTATTCTTACGTTACATGACTGTGTACTCATATTTACTTGAAGTACAAATCTATTTCTGAGCATTAAAAAGTCTGAAGTGGGGACACCAAGACTGTCCTTGGTGTCATGGTGTCCCTAAGCAAACTGTACGATCGTAACTTGATTTCTCCAAGTTCACAAATTAAACAAAGAAAAAGTGGTTCAGTGTTTTCCCAGTTTACTGCAACTGGTTAGTATTTTGCTAAATAAGGGAAGACTTTGATTCCAGCCTTCCCTCATTTATTGAAGCTGGACCTAGCCAAGCTCACGCAGAATGATGACTTACCAATTACATGGAAGTCTTGTATAGCAGATGCATTATTTCTTATACCAAGCTGAGTTTGCCCTTCCTGAAAGCGGTGGTTGTGGTGAGTATCACTGTGCAGAATAAGACTTCTACTTCCCTTTAACGGTATCAGATCTTAAAAACGGTCTTACATGTGGAGTGTGTAGATAACATGTGGCGCTCTGTTTGCTGCACAGCTAGTGGAACATTTTTCTGTTTATGCCATTATGTATCTGGGACTGGTAAACTGCTTGTGGGATGGTGCTGATATGATGCTCCAGCCTGCTGAAGGCGAAGCTCGGTGGACTGGAGGATTCTGTTACTGGTTTTGGTCCCCTGCAAGCCAGAGCAGCACAGTGGAGCGTTGCAGCTGGCTACTTCACCTCGGAAGGGAAGCACAGGCGGTGGTGTTACGACAGAATATTTAATGCGGAGTTAATGTACCATTGACTTTCTGTTCCTTTTCACTGCAACTTTTGGAGAACAACTTGAAAGTCTTGTCAAATACCTCTAGCTAAGCAGCTGCATGCCCATCTCTCCACGCCATGAAAAGCAAAGGCTGAAAGCACTTAGCATAACCGCCTCTTCTGCCTGCCTCCTCCTAACCCCTTAAACTATTCCTGTCCATGCCATGCAAATAAAATAATAGCTCTCTGCACACACACCGCCACCCCTGTTTCTACAAAGTACTGTGTCTTTTCCTGAGATAAGACATTTGAATGAGGTTCAGCTCTTGGTAGTTTTAATCTTACTGTCACCTTTCTGTTAAAAGCGTGTAAAACCATAAATGTACAGAAATTATCTGACAAACCCTAATGCCAAGAGTCAGGGTGGGCAGAAAAGAGTGTTACCAAGTTAGGGAACCAGTTAGAAAACCCATGAAAACAATATACCTTAAAAATGAAATTCTGTTATTTGGAAGCTATGTATATTTATTTTTACTTTCTTCAGAATTCATTGTATCAGTAGTTCATTTTGGAGCGTGTTTATTTACATCCTCTTGTAGCTATGCTGTAGATAAAGTGATGGAAGAGGGAAATGATGAGGCAAATTTTATTTCTTTATAACCCTCTTTTTTTGTGTGTACTTTGCCATAGTCGTTTTACTGAAGTTTTTGTGATAAATTGTGTGGAACAAGTTATAAAAGGAATCTTTTCCAGGTCTAACTTTCTATAGTGGTTTTCAGTAAAAATACTTTTATAAAATCCTTTGCCTTCTAAAGATTTTGTGTTACTTATTCAATTATTATCTCGGCTTGTAACTTCTTTCTTAAAGTTTGATTCTGTAGTAAAGTGCATGGAAGTTTTTAAAGCCTATGCTGATTACTTTTGTGCTATTCATAAATTTTGTACGTAGAGGTATGATACTTGTAATTCCAATATTTGCATTTGTCACTATCTAAAAGCAGGCATGTTAAATTGAAAACATTGACCTATAAGTACTTGTATGTATGTGAGTAATGTCAGGTGTGTGATTTTTCCCTTGATACACAAATTAAGCTGCTTGTCAATGTTGTCAGGAATAGATAGATCCCTGGGGTCGGTTCCAATGCCCTCTTCCAGTTAATTATTTAACACCTTTAAACAAGACACTTCAGGTGTCATCTGCCTTTTTTTTTTTTTTTTGGTAGATCTGATCTTTATTTAAACAGATTTTGTGAACTTAAGTACATGCAAATGTAAAATTAGTTTCAGGTGCTTTCATCTGAAGAGAAAATGTCTTATGGGCAATTTGCAGTGTGAGTCATAAAGGGGACTTGTCATTGTTGTCTTGTTTGTTCTTCTGTCAACTATTCTACATTAAACTGCTTAAATATTTAATACTTTTCATTTTTTTTCCTCTGTTAGCATGGAGGAGTCTATGTAAAAAGAAGTGCCAAATTCAATGAAAAAGAAATGAGAGAGAAGTTGCAGGCCCAGATGAAAGCTGAGACTCCGGTAAGATTATACTTTCCTTCTCCTCACTTCTTTAATTCTTTTAATGGCAAAAGCTTATTGGAGAAATGAGCAATGCCTCATACCTACAAACTACAAGACGGTAGTCATGGATTTGTTTTCTGTATTTTTACAGCTTTCTGTAATTAGAGTGATACCTCTAATTAAACTTGGGAAAATTTGACTAGTCCTTTGTGAATGATACAAACTTCATGATTCTGTCTGTAGAGGGCAGGGGGGATCTGGACTAAATCTTAGAACATGAGCTATAGCACTTTCCTTCAGAAACCACTGTTAGTGTTCCCTGTGTTTCAAAAGACAACATTTTGACTACTGTATGCTTGTCAGAGACTGATATTCTTGACTTCTGAAAGTCAAGAACCATTCTTACCAAATCTTAATTAGTCATCCCAATGATCAATCATTTTTAATGGCCATAACATCTTAGAACTGAGTAACTTCGTCTGCTATGCCTGGAGGAGAAAAAAAAAAAAAAAGAAAAAAAAAAACCCAAGCTCTTGATAATTTTCTATTTGAAGAATGATTGTTAGTGCCAAGTGACATTTCTCATGACTCCCTGTATGGTTTGTGGCTCAGTGGTTAGAATCGCTGTGCTTCGCTTCCATTACTTGCTGTGCATTAAAATGTTTTCTGCCTTTTTGGCTAGGCTTAGGAAAACCGACTCAGCAAGCCTTGATATAGAGCAGTTACACTTTCATTTTATTTAAAATGATGCGATTAGGTCTTGCCACTCCAAATACTGTCAAACCTTTTGTAAGCTGAGGCTTGGATAAAAGGAGTGCATAGGTTGTTTTGACCTTCATAATAGCCTTTTTTTTTTCTTTTTTTTGAGGTAGTGTGTTTATGTTTGTGCGTGCGTCTGTGTTGAAAAAGGAAGCTAGCCTTACACTTACCAAGAGGCTTAAATGAGTAAAGTGTCCTTGTTTAAGACAGTGCTTAAACGCATTTTGTCTTAACTAAGATTTAGCATGAACAGTTGTTTTTTTTCATTAAGATAAGAAAGTTTCCAGGTTTTAGCATATAAGTTACAAAGACCAGAAATATATTGGGACAACTAAACTTCAGCTGTCCAGTGTCTAATCTCATGATCTCCACATGGAGAAGATGGTCATATTCTGTAGTGGTAACTTGTGCCTACGTTACCAGGGTGGGTCCTGGGATGTGGAAAGGTTGCTTTGCATCAAGTTCTTTTCTGTCTGACAGTGGCAAAGATTCTACTTTCTGTAAAACTTGCGGTATGATGGAATAAGCAAAGACAAATTGCAGGATGTATGAAACACGTTTGTAGTCATCCCCCTAAGCAGTTCTTCTTTCTGCAGAGTGCTGATTAAGTTCTCGTTAGTTAGTCTGGATGAAATCTCCTAGCAGGGTATTTTCCTGCCTAGGCGCATGAACTTCTTGCTAGCCAAAGAGACAGGTTCTGGTTGAATCTGGCTTTCTGGCTTCCCTCTGCCCCCTCCTAAAATGCAGGGGCTTTTATCTTGTGATAAGAGTCTTGATTTCAACTCTGCATTAAATTAATCTCTTCATATAAATGTGGATTTTTTTTTTTAATACAGTCTTAGGAAGATGTGCCTAGAAACTCATCTAATTCTGCATGTCTTTGGAAACCTGCAAATGAGGTTCAGTGTTGCTGCAGTGCTATAAATTGACTGGACAGGCTGGTGTGTGATTTTAGCCAAACTGGAGTGTAAGAGAAGGTTTAGGCATAAAGCTTTTCTTTAAAGCTATATCTGCTGTGGGTTCTACTTTCCATGGTGGATGTCTACATGTGATTAATAAATGAAATACACCCAGAAGGGTTTTTTCTCTGGGATCGTCTTCTCCCTCCTGAGTTGTATGTGGACTGAAAGGCTATACCTGACCTATCTAAGTTAATGCCAAATGAATTTGGGACCACTTGGGTACATTTGTTTTTTGATATAATTTGGCTATCGGGAAGTTTGGTGGCATTGGGCACAGGCACAAAATCCTGCTTACCAGGCAGTTGTTGCCATTTTCCTCGTACTATCTAGGGTAGCAGTATAGAAGAGAAATAAGTGTAACTGCTGCAGAAATGCATTCTGTTTTAAATCTCTTTCAGTCAAAGCATATAGGGAGTGACACTTCAGTTCTACAAAACCAAAGCTGTCAAAAACCTATTTACCGAGACAAATGTTTGCATCTGCTGGGGTAAAAGACTCAGACCATTGAGTTGTCATTTGAGGGAAGACAAAACTTTCTATAATCCACTTTATCTGAGAATTTAAATGTAGATGCTTTAAATGCCCTTTAACCTACAATTACTACTGCGAGAAGAACGTGATAACCTGTGTCCTTACTGCATTATTCATGAAGAAACTACGGTTCTGCAACTTTGCGTGACATTCACAAGCAACCATATTGCTTTTAAAATGAAGACATTTTAATCAGTAAAGCAGCAAGGACATCCTGAAATCATCAGCCTCATGTGAAAATAATTTAGTACTCTGGAATTTTTATTAAAATTTATGCACTGGATGCTACAGCTCAGGGTGGGCTTTTCTGCAGTTTAGTGAGCAGCTGTTGCTTAGTCTTTCCGCACGTACGTGGTGGAGTTCTTTCTTTAATGTAGTGTTAGAGAAAAGCTCTCCTTTCAGCTGCTAAGGAAAGAATTATATGCCAATAGAGAGGAGATGGACGGGAATCTGTGTTAAGGGTCACTTTGTTATTTACAATTTCTCTCCACATACCATTTAAACAAAAGAATCCAAATGATTAATGTTCAGTCTGTCTGGAGCCATCCCTGTTCCCATTAAGAAACTGAAGACGTGTAGGAAGGCAGAACCAGACTTCTGTTCTCGTTAGTGTAGCAAGCCCTTTACTGTTTTATTGTTGTCCTTTTTTTTTGTGTGTGTGTGTTATGAAAAGTAAATTGGAGGTGCAACGCTGACAGGAAAATAAGGCTGCCTCTTACATTCATAGTAGAACTGGATTAGTGATCTGGTATACCTCATTTTGTGTAGGGACTGTGGACTGCATGGTGCTCCTTGCTCGCCTTGTCTTATGACTTCTACCCACCTGCCTACCTTACACAGCCCCTTTTCCTACCCTGCTGCGCGCAGTTGGTCCACCCTTCTTCCCAGATGTAGCCTAGCAATATTAGACACGTACAAAACTCCGATGCTAGACTGAAACGCTGCTGCACCCGTGTTTTCTTAGTGGGGATCTTGAACTAATAAATTTTCTTACTTAGCTCTGGAAATTACTTTTCTTCTCAAATAGTCATTGAAGTATACACTCCAATGGTTCGTTATTGAGCTTTTTGTTGGCAAAACTCAGTTGAAATGATGTGATTTTGTTTAAAATTCCATAAAATCTGGCTGACGGTTAACAAATTGCAATCTTATGTCTTGTGTGAGAGCAGAGACTGTCACATGGTTTGAAGGACACTTTTGTGTTAATGTTGTTTTAATGTAAGCCATAACAAGATAAACGCATTTCTCAATGTAACAGTATATCCAGCTACACTTGATATGCTCAATCTGCTTGTTATATAAAGAAAGTTAACCCTTCTGAACAGCAAATTAATCAGTCTGATAACTGAAAATGTGACATTTCATTTTAGTGTGCAGTAGGAAATCTGCATTTGGAGAGGTGGGATTTAACCCACTACAGCCAATATTTAGCTGGTTTTGGTTTTGTCATTCATTCAGTCACAGAATAAATCTTTGTCATGTGAAGCAGTGCCAATCAAACAGTAAAAACCTGGAGGGGAGAGATACATTAATACAACTGCTGTAAGGCTTAATGTAATTACTTTGTCATATAGTTACTAATTTGCAAATCCCTAACAATTTCTTTGTAAATCCTGGATGTCCTTGCCTGCTTTCCTCACATCTCCTTTTGTATTTCACTCCAGTTATACCAGTTATGCTTTCTCATAGCATCTCTCTCTCAGTTATTGATCTAAGTGTTAAATGTTTCTCATCCAATTCACCAGAAGCCTGTCTTCTAGGCAGTGGTCTAAATGGATTCAGATACCAATCTGTGTACTTGTCAGGATGCAATAATAATAATACTACAACTAAACAAATGCATTGTTTAATATAATTTTGAACTTTGTAAATAGAAATATTTAATTGTTTTCCCCTTGTCACCCACCTGGGAACAGCCCAGTAAATGCAAGGTATCTTCAGTCAGTAGTTACCACTTCTTGATGTCCCGTGTTCTACAGAGTGGCAGCTGCTCTCTCCAGGACACCCTCCAAAGCCCTGTCCTCAGCTGGGTTTTCAATTTAACGCCTCTTCTCTTTGTATGTTTATGGTATCTGGGCCGACTTTGTTCTGTACTCCAGGGACTCATGTGTTGCTTCATGCCTCTTTCCCCTGCTCCACCCATACCAGCTCCTTTTGTGGCACTCTCATCTATCTCGAGGACCTCCTCGGCTGCCCTGCTCACCCTCCTGGAAGCACAGCCGCTCTCAGTGCCATTGCCATTTCTTTTGGCCTGGGAGACCTTGACAACACCAGGGAAAAGAATAGAGTTGCTATTGGGGGAAAGCAGTTATCATCATCCATTCATTTCGTTTGCGGATTGTGGCAAGTTGCCTGACATTACGCTGGGGACTATACGAGTAACCTCTGCCTCTTTTCTGGTCTTCTGGCTCCAACAACATTCACTAGGGTTCTACTAGATGAATCCTGATCCACTCCTTGAAGGTTTCAAATTGATGAGAGATAGCGAGTGTATTGACACCCACCCATTGCACAGAAACAGGCATGAAAGTACCACGTAACTGAACATAGGGACCTACTCTGCTGGGGTTGCAATGGGTATATCAATGAATCAGGGGCTGTGGTAATACAAAATTTTCTATGCCATTTTAGTTAGTTATTAAAATCTTAGAAATTTGTAGTTGTTACAATCTGAAAATAGCGCTTAAGGATTTAGCTTCTGCTGCCCATGGTGGGAGAAGACACAGGCCAGTCATGCAAGCAGATTTCATAGGCTGAATTGCACTGGCAGAATCTCTTTGTCTTGGGCAGGACTGTACGTGAGTATAAGTAGGACGTCTGTTTACATTTATGGATTCTACTCAGGTGAAGTAGTCCTGATGAGCTACATATTAAGTTTGTATATGCTGAATTTAAAGCAAAGGTCACTTCTCTGTCTTGCTGGTATGCTTTCAATTCAGAGATATTCAGATTCTGGTCAACAAACCTGTTTGGCTGGTTATGTTTTAGAGGTTTACAAGAATAATTAAAATATAATTTCAAACCCTGCTTTGTATTACACACATAGGACTGGAGTAAGTAGATGTTATTTTTACATTGCCTGTTAGAACCACTGTACCCACTAGGGCGAGGGGAGTAACCTCATCTTGAAGTACCATTTTAAGGATCCAAATTATGTGATTTGAATATAAGCACATTTATTAAAAGAAAAACAAAAATGTGTCTGGATTTGAATATTGTGCCCTTTCCAGCTAACTCTGAAAGTTTTTACTTAGTCATGTAAATATCTCAACAGTGTACTTCATAGATGAAATGTATACATGACTGGGGGAAGTGTGGACTGCAGGTGGGTCTAATAAGGATTCCTGTACTTGTCCCTGTGCCTATGCTACTGTCATGTTGTGAAAAAGTAAGCACCTTGCCTCTTAAAGCCATTTTCTTTTGTTCTTTCCCCACCAAATTTGTATACATCTTGGGTTTCTGCCGGTCCTTGAACATTCTTGGACTTCACCTGCCTCTGCAATCTGCCAGTTCTCCTCCTCCCCAAACATGCCATGACAAGTACAGCCTTTCCTGTAGCTCTCTTTACTCCACTTTACTGACACTGGGTTTGACATTCTTAATTTTTTTTTTTTTTTTTCTTTTTCACCTGCCAGATACTAGGCTATGTACTCAGTTCTCTTGATCTCACTGGCTTCACTGATTGGCACGGTTCCTAGATTTCTTCCCTCCTCTGGATTTTAGTGCATCTTTCAACCTTTTTCACTGTGTGGTGGTTCTGGAGGGTTCGCTTCCTGGGTCCTGTCTTTCTGCATTCAGCCTTTTCTCTGGCTGTTCTGCAATCATGAAGTGCAAATACCAGGACGCTCTGATGTTTTGTGGGCCAAGCTACATTCCTCTCTCTCTCTTTCTGAGTTTTTATTTAACTTTGCATCTTTTCATGACATGCACTCCCGCTTGTCATTGTCTTGCTGTACTCACTGATAATCCTCCTTGGACTGTTTTGTAAATCCACTCTCTCTTTTTCTTTCAAATAGTTCTTGAGACTTGTTTCTACAAAGATAACAAGTTAAGTAGTTAGTCTAGGCACAGTAGGCATGATTTTACTGTGACTGTGTCATGTTCAACTCCACACTAGTTACCATTTGTGGCTGTAGCTTTTCTTCTGCACATGAGCCCCCAGTATGAAATTTTCATTGCTTAAATGATGTTTTGCATCAGGTTTGTATGTAGGAGATTGTGCAAGACACACACACACAAAAAGAGAGATGAGGTGGAAACCTCTGTTCTGTTTCAAAAGCAAATGGAAAATTCATCAAATTTAACTGCTTCTATTTGGGTACATAATTTTACACTCAGATATGCAGATACTTAGACAACCTTTTAGCTGTGTAATAATTTGAGTACCCGCACACAGTTGTTGCTGAAGAGGCAAGCAAGCTAAATCTAACCTTGAAGGCATGCATGCTTAAAGGAATGTGACTTTAAAGTTCAAATTGTGCTAAACTAAGAGTTTGTCTGTAATATATTTAATATCTAATACAGTGAGATGCATAAAGGCACGTAAGGTAGCTGATCTATCGTCATTTCAATTAATAGTATTTCTGACTATGAATGGAATCGAATGTGTATTTCAGTATAAGGGAAAACTAGATGCAAGAGCAGTTTTAAAGGGAAAAAAAAGTAATTTAGGTCATCTGTGACATATTTGACAGTCTTCTCCTCTTATCCCACTTAACAAAACCGATATTCGTGTTGATATCAGCTGCTCCAGACTTGCTCACTTTTTTTGACGTGTGCTAGCTCCCTTCCTAAATCACCTGGGCAACTTTCTATGGTGTACATTCAAAGAAAATTATTTTGAACTGCAAACAGTGAGTTTCTTAGAGCTAAGAAATTTTAGCTCAAGCATTCTGATTTTCTTTGGATCCTTAGAGTAATTGAGGGTGTTAACTAAATACAATATGGACCTCTCAAGTGATGGTAATTCTTCTAAAAGGAATTGGCTTACATTCATTATAAGAACTTATCTGTTCTGTTTCTTTTTAATCCCGCAGATGTATTTAGTGATTTTTCCAGAGGGGACTCGTTACAATCCAGAAATACCAAAAGTCATTGCAGATAGTCAATCCTTTGCTGAAAAGGAAGGTAAGCAAAAAAAAGTTCTGAAATCATTCTTTTGTTACAGTGTGAACGTACGTTATATAAAATTGTTATATAATATGAAGATGGTCTCACCTTAACTGAACTAGTAAGTCTGCCTGTTTGATACTTAAGGGTTAGAATAGCATAAAGCAGTGTTACTCTTACCACAGAGTAAGATGAGAGTAGTTTATATAGAAGCATTGCATGCATTTCACATTGTGCAAGAGTATTAATTCTCAAGAAAGCTCTCTTTAGTTTCTGTCTATGTCTGTGTATTTATGGACACTTCTTTTCATGCTCCTAAGGGACATAAGAATTGCCTACGCTGGATCAGGGCACTGTTCTAAGTTGACATTATAACTCCAATCACAGTTGTTACTCGATATAAAGAATATTTTGCATAGAGATTGTTGTGCCTTAAAAGAAAAAGTCTTCCATCACTTCATTTTTAATTACTGTTAGTACTACCATGGCTTTTTGGTTTTGTTCCTCTCTCACCTTCCAGTCTCACCCTTCCTTGGTGGAACTTTATTCTGTAGTTGCTTTGATTGTTGGCGTCATCTCTATAACCACAGTTGGAATTACTTCATCTTGGAAAGACTTGCAAAAAATGTAAGGGTCCCAAGCCTTTTAATTTTTTCTCACATCATACGCACAGTACACATAAACTTCATGTCCAGCAGTTCAGTGAACGTGTTTCCTGCTTTTGTTTTTTCCTGTTGACTAAAAGTGAAATAATTCACTCTGAAGGTAAACGAAGAATAACAAATAGGTCTGGTAAATTCATTTCTGTGACACACTGAAATGAATTCTCAAGTCTGTGAATCAGCCTGTTGATATCATCAGGCTACTAAGTATTGTTAGCTCTTGTCCAAAAGGATATACGCTTTTCTTCTCCTCCTTGGGAAGAATGGAATTTGTTTGCGTGTATGCGCAGGAGAGCTTAAGTCATTCTGTATTTATTCATCACTTCAGTTTCCTGTCGGAAATGAAAGTCAAATGTTTCATTCAGGTTGGCGGTTCTTTGAGAGTTCAGAGGGGGTGTTTGACAGGGGTCTTTTTCCCTCTCTCCTCCTTTTTCAGGGAAAAGAAAGGACTGTCACTGTCATTATTGTGATTTTAATAAACCTCTTAATTATATCTCTACAGTCTGCAAAACAATAAAACACTGCTTTTGTGCTTTCAGAGCACCTGTTCATTTCTTCCAGCGCTTTTCTCTCCACTATTGGTCTGCTTTTATTTTGTAAGGGTTACTCCTTTTAAAAACTCTCAAGACAAATATTTATTAAACAAGAAGCGTGTCCAATTCTAGTGCAGAATCCTCGTGATCTACTTTTCCCTACTGCTAAATTCTTTTGTTGTTGGTCTCTCCTCAACTTCTTGTATGGAGAGAATGGGAAGCAGTCTGCATGGGACCCTGCTCCCCTGCACGTTCATGCCAAGATTAATATTCACTTGAATGAATACGCTTGAAGTCGCTTGAATGAGTACGAGCATGCTGAAAAGCAGGGATGGCTGACACTGAAGGCTGTGTACCAAACTATTCTGACAGCTGAGGGCCACGAGGCACATACCAGTACATCGGGGAGCTGTGAGGATGGGGAACTCCCCATGGCCACCGGCAGGAGATGATGATGACTCCACAGGGTCCCACCATGCCAATAGAAAGAATATTTTGCATAGAGGTTGTGCAGCGCTGCTGGCCCTGGCTTGCAGCTCCCACCCAGTAGCCCCAGTGCCACCACGGTCCTGGCTGCTGGCCATATGCTGGGGCTGCGGCATGGGAGCCGTGACCAAACGCTTCACCAGCTGGTTGTGTACAGATCGAGTGCTGGCTGTGCTCATTGTAAGTGTGCGAAGGCTTACGTGACACTGCTGAGCTGAACTAAAACTGCACAATTGCATGCTTGTCTAAAAGATCCTGGAGGCTTCTTATTTCCTACAGTTTTAGGAAAGGTAGTAATGGCCAATAGTTCTGCCAGTCAGAGCAATGAGGACGCACTGTAACTTACAGTTTAAAATTTGCACTTCATTCCTCGTGGGGATATAAAGAAGTCTGATAATTTAGTCTTGTCATCTTAGAGCGCAGTGCTTCAGTGTTGCCTTTACAGACATGCAGCAGATTTTGTTTGTTTGTTTTATACCTTGAAAAGTAAGTTTTATAATCATTTTTTTCCTACATTTTTGTACAATTTTATGTTGAGAAAATAGTGCAAGTGTAATATTGGAAAAAGTGGTTTAATGAAGAAGAATTACACTTCAAATTGATGTTAGGACTAGAGAGACTATACCCAAAGATAACAAAGCTATTCCTAGAGCATAAGCATAACTCATGTTTATCATGCTGTCTGAAATACTGTTTTTGACATAAGTGTGTATATATGCTTTAGTAGTTTTGCAGAGAGGAAGTATGAAAAAGTTTTGTCAGATTTGTGTTTACTTTTACTCCCCATGGGCTGGATTCCCTTCTAGAGAAGGTTAATTATTTTAAACAGAATTATTGGGCTAAACGTAATTACCTGGTCTTAGTGTGACCAGCTGATGAGCTGCATCTCATATCTTGATGTTCTTCTTAAGTAAACACTATTTTTGAACGCAGTTACTGCCTCTTTACAATTGGCCCTAGGACCAGTTCAACAAAAAAGAAATTAAAAAAAAAAAAAAGGCTTAGGTTGACATCCAGAGGAATATTTTGACATTGCTGATTTCAGCTATTATGTCTTCCATCATTGATGTGAATACATAAATAGATCTTATCTGTCTATGAATAGGATGGAAGGATATCAAACAGCAAAAGAATTTAAAGGTGATTGAGGTCGCCCTTGAAAGAGAGGCAACTTTTTAAAATACTGGTAATACTTCATGTTAGTTTGTTCTGCCATAGGTCTTAGGTTCTACAGCTCCTAGCAAGAGCAGATGGTTTTCCTCTTTCTGAAACACAGGCAAATCAAACACACAGGGCAGATCCAATAGGTCTGGGTAGATCTATGTATGAGCAAGTTGAGAATGAAGGCTGTAAAGCATAGAGAAACTTCTAGGGAAGCAGTAGGACCGTGTACTTTCTTGCTATTTTTAGAAAGAAATAAAGGATATTATACAGTAAAAAATTAAATCCATGTACTGGTCTTTCAAATTTGTCATTCATTAACTACCTTGCCAAGTCTGAGTTGAATGTACTGCCAGGTTTTTGTTTAGTAAAACCAAAGAATGCAAAAAACATTCAGAGGTAAAATTGATAAAATTAGAGCATTAATACTGATAGTTTTCATGTTGGACACTGACACATGCATATCAGCCTTCAGCACTGATAGATTTGATGCAGCGAAACTCTATTGTAAGTAATTTGAATCCTATTGTAAGTTCTGTCCACAATTGTATTCAATGAGATACATAAAGTTGCTTACTTCCAGGAATACCAGTTTTATGGTGATGAACTGAGAATGTTGTGATCTAAGGGTAATGCTAATACCCTCAAACTGAAGATTACTCATTCTGTATGTTTTACAAGTGGCAGAAAATTCCAGTCAGATCAGATTATTACCCAGGATAGAACAGGAAGCATTTTAAACTCAAAGTACAGTTGTTTGATTGCATTGGGGAAGGAAAAATGTAATTCCTAAAGTTTAAAAACAGAGGCAAAAATTACCTCTCTAAAACTAAGTTGTTTGGTTATTTGTGGTAGGATTAACGCAGGAGTTATTCATAGAACAAGTAAAATTCTGTGGAGGTGAGAAAATTAATCTGGTATGTATCTTTGTTGACCAAAATAGCAGTATGTGCTGGCATTTCACAGCCACAGCAAACCACATAAGCAATGTTGCCAGAATATCAGATGAAGTCGTATGTCAGTTTTTCTCATTTCTGTCGGAGGCAAATGAAACTGCTCACTTCCAGGCCAATGGAGATACATGCTATGTAGCTGGATTTGAACCTGATACATCTAAGTGTCATCTCCTGATGGGAAGTAGGTGGCCGTGTGAGATGATTCCAGTAATTGCCACCAGGATGGGCGCTCTCTTTCTCCGTGTTTCAGTGTAGTTGGTGACTTGTGTTTCCAATGGGACATCTTGTAAGATTCTCATAATCAAATATTTCTTCCTCTATTCTCTTGAAGATCTAAGAATGTGACAGCATGTATTTTGCCTCTTAACTCCTGAGCTTTTACCTTCCAATTTCCAATATTTTAAGTATATAGTCAATAATCATAGCTTAGAGTTCACTTTAGTTTTCCATTGTACAGGAGTAGTCAGCTAAGGTGATTCCCATCTTCAAAATCTGATGCAGTCATTCAGTTGACTTACATATTTGTGACCCCTTTTAGGCTCCTGTCTGTTAGTTTAGGTATCTTAAAAGTGCAGTGATTCTTGCACGCTGGTGGGTGGGCTTGAGTTGCTGAGTCCAGGACATTATAGTATGTAGGTGGTACTCGTATTTTCCTAGGCATTTAACTCTAATCTTATCATAATGTTAGAAATGGTAATTTTTATTGTGTGTATTTATTTCAAAGTGTAAATCTTTTAAGGCTGGGTCTTTTTAATGGTACTGGACTATAGAACAAAATTTCTATAAAACCCACAAAATACATGATTGTTATTTTTTGTACCAGCTTCTGGTATAAAATTGGTTCCATTTATATGTTCCCAAAATATATATGTATAGATTTCTGATCATTTCCTAATAGCTAGACCTCTACAATGTTCCAAACAACCATAAATTTCTTAGGTTTAGTAGAATATAAATTTTATCCAATGTTAAGAAATGGCATTTAAAAAATTTGAAAATAGGAATAATCCAAGGCCCTCCTACTCCTAATGTTACTAACTCTGAAAAATCAAAGAGAAAGGGGTAAGAAGCTTGTTATATTTAACTTGGATTGCTTTTGCTGAATGAAGACAAAACAATCTTCCCTAGTGAAAGGCATTTATGGAATTTTGTATTAACGTTTGATTTCTAACAAAGGTCATTTAATCTAGCAAACATTTCAGGTATTCATTTATTATCTC